CCGCCCAGCAGGCATGGCCTCTGTGGCAAAGCTGGGCAAGCGGGCTCTTGCCACTGCCTCATCCGGACCCGGGTCCCACTCAGAATGGGGCCCTCCCCTGCCTACATTGCCCACCAAGGTGGGGTTCCTCACCTGCCCAGATCCACAGCCCAAAAGTTGGGGAGCAGGGATTCGAGCCCAGGCTGTTCAGTGCTGAGCCCCTACATCCCCTGGCCCTCCTCTCCTGAGCTTGGGTCTCAAGGTCATACCTCTGCCACGGCATCTGCCGCCCCAGATCTCTGCCAAGGCCCTTGTGCTACCTGGTGACCTATCTGGGGTCACAGACCACCTGCTATCTCTTAGAGGATGGGGAGCTTGACCTCGGTGTCTGAGCCTCCCCAAGCCTAGGCCAGCCTCGGTGCCCTTTAGTGGCCAAGGGCAGACTGTGCTTTTGGCAGAAAGCTGGCCATGACAGACAGACACAGACAGACAGATGGTAGCAAGGGGGAGGGTTAGAGGAGAGTTTCTGTCTCTTCTTCCCCTTTGCAGCCTGCCCGGGGTGGAGAGAGGGCCCCAGAGCAAGCCCACCTCTGTCCTGTGCCAGCTGTGTAGCCTCAATCTATTTAGTACCTCTGAACCTTAGTTTCTTCCTGTGAAATGGGTGCTGAGGGTTGAGATAAAATAGCAGCTGAGGAGCCCCGGGCCATGATCCAGCCAGGACAAGCCAATGGGGCAGTTCTGGGCCAAGGCGGGGGCCTGAGCCTCAAGGGGCTAAGGGGTCAAGAGAAGCTGGCATGCCCAGCAGGCACTAGATCAGGGAGACCTCCAGGGGAGGGGCTGGACCTGACAGCGGGAGGTGGAGTTTGCCAGGCGGGAGGGATGAGGTGAGGAAGTCAAAGACGGGACGGGGGCTCAGGGCAACACCCCAGGGTGGGGAGGAACCCAGGGCCAACAGAGTGACCGAGCGCAGGGAGGCCGGGCCACAGGCGCGGGGCTGAGAAGCTGCCAAGACGAGAAGCGGGAGCCAGCCAGCACTCCCTGGATGTACCCCTTCCTGGACGGACGGAAGGCCTGAGGTCAAGGCAGCAGCCGGAGCCTCCCCTTGTCCTGTGCCCTGAGGGCCCCAGGCACCTACACGCAGCAGAGGCAGGAGTGGCCAGAGGGCCATGACGGGAATGGGATCCCCGTTAGGGTCAGAGCCGCGTCGGCCCCTTCTCCAACCTCCGTCTCCCCCGGAGGTGGGGGTCAGGAGTCCTGGGCTGCTTTGTGCCCTCTGCAGGCCCCTCTTCTCTGGGCCTCAGTTTCTCCATGTGCCCTCCTACCCCCGGAGGCAGCACTCTAGCCTCGCATCGAAGAACACTGCCATTTATATTCCAGAAAGCAGAGGGCTCTCCGATAACGGCAGCTCCGTGGCCTTCCACGGCGTGCTAGGGAGAGCCACGGAAATGACCCCACGCCACATCCCACCAGCAAGACCCCTGTGGTCTCTAGCCTACCCTCCCCCAGCTGCAGCTCCTCCCCCTGCCCCAAGGGCCGGTGCCTCAAAGTGCCAGGCTCGGGGACCAGCCCACCGCGCCAGGGCACTTACCAGGGTGGGTGGGAGCCAGCCGGCGGGGCCAGCAGGAGCCACGGGTCAGCCTGGGAAGAAAGACACACGGAGAGCTTTCACTCTGGGTTCCTGGGGTCTGCAGCCTGCCCAGGAACAAGGCAAACGCCCGGCACAGCGTCACCCCTGCCGCCGGGCACAGAGACGGCCTCACCCGTGTGCTCAGCGCCCACGAAGCTGGTCCCTCATAACCTGCGCTGACCACGAGGACACCGCCGTTCAGAGACGCTGGCGCCAGCCAGGCTGACGGCCGGAGAACGGAGGGGTGAGGAACGGAACCCCAGCCCTGGGTCTCTCGCAGGGCCAGCTCCAGGACCCCCAGCCACAACCCTCCTCCTTTCTCTGAACCCCACGCTTCTCTCCATACTTGAGGCTGGAGACTGCCTTCCAGAGCAGCGCTGCCAGGGGGGTACTGGGCAGGGGGAGCGGGTGATGTAGAGGACAGGGCCCGCCCAGAGTCACCCAGCGTAGTGGACTACATGGGAGGCCCCAAAGAGATACGTCTAAGTCGTAGTCCCCAGGAACTAAGAATGTGATCTTATTTGGAAAAGAGACCTTTATGAGGCGCCTGGGTGGCTCAGTTGGTTGGGTGGCCGACTTTGGCTCAGGTCATGATCTCGCAGTCTGTGGGTTCAAGTCCCACGTCGGGCTCTGTGCTGACAGCTCCCAGAGCCTGGAGCTGCTTCAGATTCTGTGATTCCCTCTCTCTCTCTACCCTCCCGCCCCCCGCTCAAGCTCTGTCTCTCTCTGTCTCAAAAATAAAAATTAAAAAAAGGGGGGACCTTTGCACATATAGTTAGGAAGCTCATCCTGGATTAGCCAGATGGCTCCTAAATTCAATGACAAGTGTCTTTATAAGAGAAAGAAGAGATAGAGGAGAAGATCGCATGAAGACAGAGGCACAGATTGGAGTCACGTGGCCCTAAACCAAAGCAGCCAAGGATTTCTGCAGCCACCAGGAGCTGGAAAAGGCAAGGGAGATGGGATCTTCTCTAGAGCCTCCGGAGGCAGCAAGGCCGTGCGGACACCTGGATTTTGGATTTCTGGCCTCCAGGACTCTGAGAGAGTAAATGGCTGTTGTTTGGGGCGCCTGGGCGTCTCGGTCGGTTAAGTGTCCAAGTTCGGCTCGGGTCATGATCTCGTGGTTCCTGAGTTCACGTCCCACATCGGGCTCTGTGCTGACAGCTCAGAGCCTGGAGCTGCTTCCGATTCTGTGTCTCCCTCTGTCTCTGTCCCTCCCCTGCTTATGCTCTTCTTTCTCTCTCAAAAAATAAATAATAAAACAAACAAAAAAGTCTGTTGTTTTAAGCCCCCAGGGTGTGGTACTGGGTTAGGATCGCCTTAGGAAACTTACACACAGGGACTCTCCAAAGTCCCTTCCCTGGACCAACTTCACTTAAAGCCCGGGCATGTCCTGCAGGGAGAGGTTGATTCTGTGGGCGCCCCCGCCCCCTCCAGGCATCCAGTCGGATGGAGCAAACCTGAGCTGGCCTCCTAGGCTGTGCACAGACTAAGGGCCTGGCCCACCACCTCCTACCCCCTAAGCAGGGGACGGGATGCCTCACCCAGCTTGGATCCACCGCACTTGCTGGGCCCACCTCCTGCCTCTGGTTCGCAGCCCTGGCCAGCCCCTCCCTCGCACGCTGCCACCACGAAGCAGAGGTCAGACTGGGTCCCTGGCCAAGCATATGGGGTCTGTCTCCTGCTTCCTGCCCTGAACCCTTGACTCTGGGCCTACCACACAGGCCCATCAACCATGCCCCGTGCCCAGTACCTGCCAACTAATCTTCTCCAACAAATGTTCCCTCATCCTTTTTTTTTTTTAATGTTTTTTTTTTTTAATTTATTTCTAGGAGAGAGAGAGAGACAGCGTGAGCAGGGGAGGGTCAGAGAGAGAGGGAGTCACAGACTGAAACAGGCTCCAGGCTCTGAGCGGGCAGTCAGCACAGAGCCCGACGCGGGGCTCGAACCCACGAACCTCGAGATCATGACCCGAGCGAAAGTCGGACGCTTAACCGACTAAGCCACCCAGGCGCCCCTGTTCCCTCATCCTTTGAACACAGAACCATCTAGAATCTCACACCCTTCTCTGAAATCTCCTAGTCAGTGGCATAGCCTGACGCACCAGAATGTCACACGGATATCCCCAGCACCCCCCCACTGGCCTGGGTCCTGCTGACTCCCACTGATCCACAGCAGGGCCCAGATGGATGCATGGACAGATGGGTTCAGTCGTGTCTACACGCACGGCTATGCCCCTCACGTGGCCATAACCAGCACTCGCTTCGGCCATCCCTCAGAGCCAGAGCGTACTTAGAGTTACTCTGACCCTAAATAAGAACCCATGTCCAGTGTGGCCGCCGCCAAGGTCCATCTCCTTGGTGAGATGAGGGGTAGTTGGACAATGAGCAGGTGTCCAAGACTGCTAACTGCAAAACAGAGATGAAGTGGACACACTGGAGCCCGCCAGTGTCCCCAGAAAGACAGCGGCACACTGGGACCAAGAAGGCCCCCAAAGTCTCGGGGTAGAGGCAGGAAGGGCCCAGCCACTCCTGTGTCCAAGGGCAGAAGAAATTAAGAGAAGTGCAGAAAGAGGCCCACATGCATGGCTGCCCCCCTGGGGCCTGGGCTTCTGGGCCAGGATGGGGTGGGGGCGGGGCTTCTACTATGAGACACTTGACCCTCCAGCTCTGTCCCCAGAGAAGACTCTAGAGGCTCATGCATCCCTGGAGCTTCCCCCCCCCCCCCAACCGGTCTGGTGTCTCTGCCTCTGGCAAACATTCCCAAGCATGGCAGCGGGCTGAGCAGAGCTGGGCGCCCTCAGGGGGTCAGGGGTGCCCCCAGGCTCATGCCCAGGACAGAGCTCTCTCCAGCAGAGCCCCCGAAAGGGCCGGGCTCCCCAGGAGGGAGCTGGGGCCTGGCCAGGAAGGAGCAGCACGCAGGCAGGAGGGAGGATGGCGGGAGCTCCGGGCCAAGGTCCCTGAGCGAGGGACGAGGTGGCCGGTGGGCTGTGGTGAGGGGCAGGCCGGGTCTGGGGCGAGCCACACTGGCATCGTCACTGGCCTGAGCCACTCTCCTGCCTCAAACCGCGAGCCAGCAGAGGTGCTCAGGATTCACGCTTCGGTTCATCACAACAGGGACAAGCCTGCGCCCTTTAACTGCTTGAGAAGTAACGTTCCAGAGCGCTGATGTGTGCCCCGAGCTCCCGGCCCGTGCCCATGGGGGCGGCCTGCCTCTCGTCAGCCTTGCCCCAAAGAGCGACCCCCAAAAGGGACGCTCAGTGCCACCTGCCCGTGGCTGCCTCCTTGGTAAGCAGGGACAGCACGGTGGCTACTGCACAGGCTTCCTTGGGGACAGGCCTGGCTCCGTCCCCTCTCCTAAACTTGTGGTCCGCTCTGTGCCTCAGCTTCCTCACCTGGAGAATGGGGCTGACACTTGCGGTGTGGGGCTGTCCCGTGGACCGTCTGGCACGGCTGGTGGGCAGGGGTGCTCCAGGGGCACCGGGTCGCTGGGGTTCCGTCGGCAACGCTGTCAGCACGGCCATGTTGGAAAGGGGGATCGTGTGCTCAAACCACCTGCGCAAAGCTGGGCAGCACCTTCCCTTCCTGCCCCGGGGGCTCTGACCCTTGACCACGCCAGTCTCCCTGGCCACCGCTGGCCCCATTCCCATCGTGCTGGGAACTGCACCCGGAGGTGACCCCCCCGACCTCCAACTACATGCAGGGGCCCTCTCCCAGCTCCTTAAGAGTCAGCCTTCCCCTCCCATCCCACACCTCAGCATTTCCGTCCCTCTGGGGGCGGCCGGCCCCTCCCTCAACATCAGCCACAGAGGACGGTCACTCCTCATGTCCACCTCCTGCGATGTGTCCAGCACGAAGCAGGCACTGCAGCCCCTCCCTGGCCAGCCGGGTGCCCCTCCCTCCCCCTGGCGCCCAGCCCAGGATGCTCATTTGCTGAATCGAACCATTCGCCTTGCCTCGAGCACCCCCACTTCTCCCTGGGGGCCTCTGGCCGCAAGACATATGCCCAGAACAGGGGCTTTGGCGCCCACCAAGCAGGGCCTGACCCCCTCCCCAGGGTGGCTTCTCCCAGCCTGTGTCCTCGTCCCCAACGTGAGGCTGGCAACAGTCACTGACGGGGCAGACGTGGGGCCAGACAGGCACCCTCACCCCCAGCAGCACCTGGTGAGCCGGGCCCGAGGCTGACCACGCCGCCCAGCACCGCTGCTGACCCGTCAGGGGTCAAGGGAACGTGGGAGACAAGAGATCTGTGTTTTCGTCGGGATGCCCAGAAACAGACACACCATCTCCTCTGAGGTCGGAGGTGAGTTGAACCCTGGCCGGATGAGGGACCCACAGAGAGCAAGACTTACCCAGATCCAGCCTGCTCCCCTCCGGCCTTCCCAGGCCACGCCACGTTGGCTCCCTCAGCACACGCTCACTGAGCACCCATCCTATTGGGCAGCGGAAGGCTCCAGAAGGCCGGTCTGGTGCTGGGTGCGAGGCCTGCCTCTCCAGCAGAGGGCCTGGTTCCTGCCACCGGCCTCCTCAGGAACAGAGGCTACCATCCACCAGACCCTCCTGGGGACCCGTGTCACACGTACATCCCATGGGGACAAACTCCCCACTTGCTGAGGCCAAGGCAGGGGGTCATGAAGGCTGGGATGCTTTCCTTCCTGTAGTCCCCTCTTGCTACAGAAGGCCAAGCCAGGGCCAGGGCAGGAGCCTGCGTGTCCACCCAGCACCAGTGCGCCAGCCCCCGGGCCTATGCAGTCCCCAGCCACTCACAGGTAAGCAGCCCGCTGCTGTCCCAGTGAGGAAAGGAGGCGCAGCAGGCCGCAGGACAGCCATCCAGCTGGCACCGCCCAGGGCACCCAGAGCCCAGAGCCACCTCGCCCACCCGCCCTGTCTGCCATTTCCTGCTGAGGCGCCTTCAAGAGGGGCGAAGGGAGGGGAGGGCTCCACAATGGCTCCCACCTGGGCAGAAAACACAGCAGCCCAGGGGCCAACGGGAGGCGGGCTCTGGGCAGGGGGCTGCAGCACGCGGGGCGGGACAGACCGTGCGGCGTGCTGCCGCCTGCCACCCTGTCCGCATGGGCTCAGGGTTTGCTTGTTTCAAACTCACGTCCAAAGCCCAGGGACAGCCCCGTCGGGAGACATTCAGCTTGAGCCTGGCTCACCGCTGTCAGTTCCTGCGGGGGGCGGGGGGGGTGCTCACCCCAGAACAAGGTCTGGCAAGAAGCAGAGGCCGAAGCCTCAGAGTCTCCGGCGGTGACTTGGCTGTCCTGAGAGCTGGCAGGCTCCGGCGGGTGAGGACCACGGAGGCCAGGCGCTCCGGGCAGCAGTCAAATGAAGTGAAGGAGCGAGACATCCCAGGAGCGGTATCTCCGTCAGATAGGGGGGCCCCTACAGAGCCACAGCCGAACCCCACTGGGTAGCTAAGAAAACTGCGAGCAGGAAGTGTTGTCCACCACTGGGCCAGGCTGGGCTGGGGGGGGGAGGGGAGTCCTTGTCTCTCCCTCACAGAGCCTTAGCCCAACCCCCAAGCTCTCCTGGTACTGGGGAGGGAGGCAGGGCACTGCCACCTGCTGGCAAACACCACATCCTTCACCCCAGGATCCAAGCCAGCCCCACCTTCCATGGTGGGGGGGGGGCGGCGGATCCTGATGGCTGGGGAGGGAGCCACTTCTGACTCACATCCTTGTGACCACTATTCCACCCAGACATGGTGACACATCAGCCAGCATCCTTGGAGCAATCGTCTGCATAAAGTAGCCAAGCACGGAAACCACGCGGGGGGGGGGGGGGGGGGGGGTGTCCTGGATAGGAAGCAACTTGTGCAAATGGCCTGGGGTTGGGGTAGGAGGAGACACGCACCTTCAGACGAGAGGAACTAAAGCAGTTTTGTTTCAGAGCTGTTTGTCAGGGCCATGGGCCCAGGGAGTGTGGATGAGATTCCAGCCTGCCCCCCAGGTGAGGTCCCAGGCCAGGATCCCATTCAGGCTTAGGCTCCGGTCCCAGTTTCACTGATTTGGACCAGGGACCTGGTACAAGTCACTTCACACCTTAAGCCTCACTTCCTCCTTCCCCAAAAGGGCTTGTTGCTAATGGTACCCCGAGGCCCAAAGAAGACCTCGCCGCAACTCTGAGACAGGCACTTGCCCCAGCCCTGGGTCTCAGGGTCTCTGAGGGTAGAGGGCACCGGCTCAGCCCAGATCTCAGTACCCTGCAGGGCAAAGTGCAACAAGGCAACACAGCGGGGATGCCAAGGCCATGAAACTGACGCTGGGGGTGGGGGGATGCGGGTAGAGGAGGCAGCCAGTGAGATGAGCCCCCTGCTCCTCGCGGGAGCCAGCGCTGGAGACCAGGGATCAGCCACCATGGGCACTCTGCGAGGACACCTGCTGCCTGCCACACTGGCAACCACTTGCCAGGGCACCTTGGGCTGGGCCACCAGGGACACAGCCTTGACCCTTAGCAGTCAGTGGCCTTGGTCACTCCATCTGTCTCACCACCCATCGCATTAGTATCTTTCCTGCCACGGTGGCCTCCCTCAGACCACAGGAAACCGCGGCGCTCCTCGGCACCTTACAACATTTCAGTGGCTCAGAACACAGGGCCCAGGGTCATGAGGTGTGGCCCCCAAACTTGGTCCCCCGGACCCCTCACTCACCAGGAGCCCCAGGCCACCATCTGTCCAGTGGGGTTGTGGCCTCCTGCTGACCCTGCCCCAGGCCAGAACCCAGAGGAGGTATCTACACAGTAAACCCCTCTCTCGCTCTGCTCATTTCAGCCTTTTAGGACATCTTTCTTCTGTTTTAATCCACTCACTGTGATCCTTTTATGCCCAACAGAACATTTTTAAGCTATTTTCAAACCATTCTTTCTCTGATGCTATTGATTAGTTTTTACTTTCTGAGTTTTTAAATTTTTATTGCATTGCCTTTTGCTTTTGGTCACATTTCATTCATTAGTAAACTTTAGTTGGCCTCAGGAGGTCTCACACCGGGGCCGGGTCTTGCCCTCTCACCAGCGACCTTCTGAGGTCACCCACGGGCCAGGAAAGGGGAACATCCAGGTGACAGGCCAGCCTCCCTGCCGGGGCTACAGTGGGCAGGGCCGGGGGGAGCACGCGTGGCCACTCCCAGGCCTGGGTCTCTGGCTGGACAGAGACAGGGAGACAGAGACAGGCCCAGAGGGAGGGAGCCAGAGAGAGGACAGAGAAAGAGGCTGGACAGCAGGGCAGAAGTGGGAAGGGGGAGGAGGTCAGCCCCCCATTAGAGGAACTGAGAGCAGCGTGTTCCTCCTCCGCCTGGGAACCGGGGCTTGGCGCTGGACAGGATGACTCACAGCCACTGGGCCACTGGCTCCTGCCCGCGCCCCTCAGCACAGACCCACAGGAGGCCCAGACTGTTCCCAGCGCCCTCACACTGGCCCATTGTTCAGAGTCCCAGGGAGGAAAAGGGTCTGGCGGGGGGCCCAGATTGGCGGGAAAGGGGCCCAGTCCCCAGTTGCCCCTGTGAGCAGTCTGGTCCTCCACTGGGGTGGGGGGGATCTCCATCCAGTCACCCTGCTGTCCTGCACACTGTCCCCTTTCCAAGGCCAGGTGTCCTGTGAGATCCTGCACCCCAGGCCCACCCTCCCATCCCCCCACCCCCACCCCCGGCTCCGAGCCGCAGCAGAGAGGTGGTTCTCAAAGGCGATCACACTCAGGCTCAAGTTCAAGGTCCTTACCCAGCCGGTGCTCAACCACACTGCACACCTGGCACCCCTTCCCTGACCGCTCATACCACCCCCACCTCACAGGCTCCTGCCTGGTCTTCGGCCCCGGCTCAAAGTACCCCAAGACACCCCTAATGCCACATAGTCAGGCCGGAGTGTGGTTCCCTTAGGATTCTCAGAGCCTGGAGCAGGGCTGGAAGAGGGGTTCACCCCACTGCTGCCCAGGGTCCCAGGCTGGGCCTTCCTGAGGCACAGAGAACTCTGGTCAGGGCGCCCAGACCTGTGTGAGCCTCATGGCCGCTCTCCCCTCTGCCCACCCTCCCCTCATCCTACCCCTGCGCCAGAGCCGTAGAAGCTCCATCCGATCCCCCACAGGCAACGCGCCTGCCCAGCCCTGACACCTGCCCTCCTCACCTCACGCTCAGTCTAACTGAGCCTCCAGAGGCAAGGAGGCTTCTGGGAGCCAGCAGAGCCCGGAGCCAAGCCCTTGGGTGCCAGACCCTAAGGCTCCCTCCTGGCTGGGGCAGCCTCCTGGGGGGGGGGGCAGGGGGTACGGCGCTGTGGGTGCTATAGGAACACCTTCCCCCTTCCCAGGGAGACAGCCATGGGGTCACACTACTGGGGGCCAGAAAAGCCAGCAAACGACACAGGGGTGTGGGGGGAGGTGCAGTCAGCACCCAGTGCTACCCGCCTTACCAGCTCTGCCTCCCCCACAGCCCCAACGGCCCCCAGTGGGGGGGTGGCCCTGGTCAGCTACCCCCTCTCCCCACCACACTCCTAGCTCTCCCACACATCTGATCCCCCTTCCAGCCCCCCTGCTTCCGCAGAAGCTACCTCACAGCCATTACCGGAGGGGGGCTGCGCCTGGGGGAGAGTCTCCAGCCCTGAGGAGCTTTGAAAATGGAAACCAACCCCAGCTCCAGACCCTCCCATGGCCTCGGGCCTGACCTCCGCACCCCCTCGACTTCTCCAGGCTTTTCCTTTAGAGCTGCCACACCAGCTCGCCGCGGGGCCCTCGGCCTGGCCCCTTTGTCCCCCTCCTGCGCCCCCTCAAGGAGGCCCCATCCTGGATGCCCCCCATGGCACCTACTCTGCCCTTCGTGGGGGCTGCCCACTAGCAGGCCAGGGCCACCCCCAGGCCAGGCACCCAGGAGGGCGCCCCCGCCCTCACTCCCGGCTGTTGGGAGGCTTGGGCTTGGGGGCAGGGCCTCCCTCCCTCAGGAGTAGGGTCTCTTTCTCAACTGTCTTCCTTCCCCAGCAACTTCCTGCCCCACGATGAACACGGCCACTGCCAACCACAGCACGTCACCCTCTGGTCACGGTTGCAGGAAAGTGGGAAGACTGTTTTCAGAGAGCCCCCCGCCCCGGGGTGGCAAGGCCTTCTGAGGCCAGGCACCCAGGACCCCAGAACGGGTCGGGGCCTCGGAGACAGGCTCCACCCCTCACCCCATTGCGCTCCCCTGGTGCTGACCCAGGTGGGCCAGAACCCGGGACCTGCTCCCAGCCTGGGGCTCTCCCCGCACCCCACCACCAGACCAGAGACAGACCCCTGACGGAAGGGGGCATCGCCTCCACTGGCAGCTGCAGCCCACGGTCCGGAACCAAACCGGGCCGGGAGGAGGGTTATTCCAGTCTCCTGCCGCCGTGGCAAGGAGCCAGCGCTAGGGCTCTGGAGGCCCCAGCCCTGTCACCGACCAGGCAGCAGTGTCGGGGTCCCTGGAGAAGCATATCCCCCCTGAGCCGGACTGGAGAGACGGGAGGGCCACGTGAAGGAAGGTGAGCGTGGGCCACAGTACAGGCAGGTCCTCACGTCGGCTAGGGTGCAGGCAGGCGCTGGGGCCTGAGGCTCTGACGCGAGCTAGGTGGGCCGGCCGGAGGCCTTGGTGGTCTGTCACCAACTGTGGGGGCTCTGAGGCCCCTGCTGCGTCCAGCCCACAGCCAGTCACCTCCCGCCTAGCACCAGGCGACCACCCTGCATTCCTAGGGGCCTGAGGCCTGACAGGCCGCCTCCCATTCTGGGCTGAGGGGTAGGAGACACAGTCCCTCTGTCCCCTGCCCACCCAGCTGACCCCTGACCTGCTTGTCGGGGCCAGGCCCCCAGCGCCGCGTCTGCCCGGCCATCAGGGGACCCAGGAAGCCAGCGCGAACAGCTTGGCCCTTCCTGGCCCCAAATAGGAGAAAAGGAAGCAGTTGGATTAGGGAGGGACGATCTTCAGGAGACAAGGCAGGCGCCGAGTGTCCCCTGCGCCTCCCTCCAGCTCTGACACAGGCTGTGGTCCTCACACCTGTCCACTGGGGCTTCTGGGTCCTTTCGCACTGCTCTCCTGCTGGCTGCACAGCCAACTGCACCTCGGGGACTGGCTCCCTGGGACCCAAAGCCCGGGTTCGCACAGTGGCCTGCAGTTCAGGGGAGCTCAGGCCGGCCCCAATCTTGGCCCTAATACACGTCTCCAGGAAGGAACAGCCACAAAGGAACGGCTTCCACTGTGGGGGGAGGCCCAGGATACTCCACCTCAGTCTCCCCATCTGAACCCTGCTGGGGCCACTGAGAGCATCTGGAACCCACAGCTGGGCAGGGGTGGGGAGGGCAATGACAGAAACCTTTGAGCGAGGCTACAGCACGACAACCTGTGATTATCTGATTGGCAACTCCGCCGACCGGGGCAGCAGAGGCTTCCCGGCTGATGGC